TAGTATAATGCTGACCGCGCCGAGGAGCTTATCGGACTGAACGCCCAAACAAAAGAAATACACTGACCGTGCCACCTCAGGTACACGGAGTAGGCCCGTCCGCCAGCTTCTCCTGTGCTGCATTGGCGAGGCTCGAAGTGCGCGGGAAGCGGGCATTTCTTTTTCTGTGATTTATTGTTCGTCATTTTGATTTGCAGGTTATATACTCGTAAAATATACCAGTGACATATCCAAAATTTGAATAAGTATGATACCCCTTAAAAGGACTGTTTTCAAGACCAGACATCTTTAACTTGATGTCGAAAATCTTTGAGCTTCAGCCACGTATCTCATTCGGCATGGACACAGCCTTGAGGGCAGATCAAAGAATTCAGTACAGCTGGGTGATTCTAAAAATCATTTGTATCACTGCTTTATAAACCTTCCATGCTCTCATTTGGTGTTCTTCACGCTCTATCGTGAGCGAAGAACATCTTATGGGCCCGTCCATGTCTGTCAAGTTTTCAAACAACAATGGGTCTAGAGGACTTCCTATTGTTATTTTTATTGCCACCTTTATTCCCATTTTCACTCTTTAAATATTGTTATTCTTCCTCCTATTCTTGTTTCTGTTCCCACTGATATCCTTATTCCTATTTTTAGTTTTATTAATATTTTATTAATTTTTATTACAATAAACTCTCCTTCAACGCGGAATCGATATACACGTAAAAATAAATCTTCTCAATGACCTAACCACACAAATTAAAACCCTTCTTCAAGCAAGTAGAGCTTTCTCCACTAGCAACAGAGAGAAAGCAAGAGGTGGTTGACTATTTCCTGACCTTGATTCATCAGAGGGCTGAAAATTTTCGTTCGGCCGAAGCCGTTGTAGCTGCGATAACGAAATCAGCTAGGTTATAAGTTTCTTCAAAAGTGCTGTTACTTTAAGCTACGTTTACACGGCGAGAGTTTAGAGAATAGAGTTACGAATTATAGTCAGGTGCCTGCGTGTAAAAGGTCGTGCGAGCAGGTATTTTGCTTAGTCTAAGTCTAAATAGAGAAAAGAGGGAGAAGTGAGATGAGAGCAGCTCTCGTCGTAGAGCCATAGACCACTCTAAACTCTAAATTGAGCTGCTCTACAAAGTTTAACACAGCGAGAGCAGCTCACTTCTCTCTCTTTTCTCTATTTAGACTTAGCAAAATGTCTTCTCTCGCGACCGTTTACACACATACACCTGACTGTAATCTCTAACTCTATTCTCTAAACTCTCGCCGTGTAAACGTAGCTTAGAGAAACCATAGCAGTATCACACAAGCAGATTTTCCTGTGAAGTCATCTTAGCCAAAAATGACAGTTCCTTTATCAGCAACGCACAATAGAAGATAAGATTATAAACTTGGGCCAGTACCCGTATAAGCTGTTCAGGAAAAGAATTCTTAAAACTGTCATAATTTCGTTTCTCCAATTGAGCAACGAACTGATAACAATGATTATGTTGTCAATAATTTCGTAGCAGTTCTTAAAATTATAAACTTTAATAGCAATCTAAAATAGAATTCGGCATCCAGAGAATCTTTTACACTTTTCTTGGAACTGCAGGGGTAGCTCAGTCAGTATAGTGGCTGGCCACGGACTGGACGATCGGGGTTCGATCTATTGACACAGTCTGGAAACTTTCCGATCGCACCTCGTATACTGCCTTTCCCCCAAGCGCCTTCATGGCGTATAGTGGGACTGCTTTAATTTTTACTGTTTTTCTTGTTCTTGTAACTGCCGAACAAGAATGGCGACCGGCTCAGACAAGTAAAATATTCTCTTCGAGTCTGTCGGTAAGTCGTGCCTTTGTCATTACATATCGGTAAAATTTCGCTGACGGAAGATGTAAACAAATAATCACAAATATACGATGACGTGCCATGTCATGTCCTTAGAGTGAATAGACAATAGCGGCCAGAAACAGCGTATGTCGCATCTCTCCTAAAGCTTTAGAGCCGACGTTAGCTTCACTCTCAGAGTTGCTTAATCTCGTTCACAATCTCAGCTACCTTACATAATTCTACATACAAATGTCGACTACCATCGGACTCTTTCTGAATACTCTGAGGAAACTAATTTTCAATATTTTCCAAAGTGAACCCACATGATTCAGAGATACCTTTCTTGTTGAAAACGTATTTGCATATATGTAAGCACTCATTAGTTCATGTCAAGTCAACAAAAGAAAATACGTCATCGAAGTGTGACGTAGCACAACATAAATCTTAAGTCTACCAAAATGCTAAAGGATTATCACAGTATCATAAAATGATTTGGTGTAATTCTTTAGAAATGTAAGTTCAACCCACTCTGAGTTCTTCTGAACATAGTAAGGACTGGGAATTTCTTGACTTCCTGAGCTGAGCCCCATGGAGTAAGGAACATACTTAGAGTCATCTAGTTATCAATTTTATAAGATACCTGGGCCGGCGATCTGCACACTACAGAGTGATTCAAAGCTCTTGTACAATACTTAATTCGGTTTCGGAGGTCATTTGGAGCATGAATATTTTTTAAAGCTTTTTCCAGATTCTAATTCCGAGTTACAGCGTTTTCACGTTGACGTCGCTCTTATTATCACGATTATCAATTTCCAATAAAACAGTTCACTTTAACACAACATACCAAATTATTTCTTTGTCTGCAATGAAAAAAACAAACGAAAAATTTTCCCTTTGTAGCATTTTTCAATTGCCCCTTAAGAGTACTCCTTTAAAAAACGTTCCTGTTCGTGTAGTGGGGACTTCTCAGTCTAATTACTGGTGCTCAGCATGGGACCCACATCCTACGATCACAATACTACAAAGCGACGTCAGCATTAAAACTTAATCAGGCAGAAACGGTGGCAAAACTGGAAAATCCCGTTATTTACATTTCTGCTTCAAATTGTCTCAACAGACTCCTTAAGTATTGTACAGGAGCTCTGAAACATCCTGTATTATCTGATACATATGTTTGCATAATCAAACAATAAAGCAGGATTTGAGGTTCTCACAGCTGTGAGTATGAAGATGGCTGTCTTCTGGGTTGCAGCGCAGTATATTCATCGCCCTGATGATGGAGATAGCAAGGACCTCTTAAACGTTGGTTAACTTCTACCAGACTACTTTCGTCGGCTATATCAAGTTCTATCAAAACGGTCAGATTATAGGCCTATAAGAACCAGAACTTATATTACCTGTTCCAAGCCAAACTAAAATTAAAATTACTCGATAAAATTTTGTATATTGCCATCATACCAAGTTTTAACGTAATGAGTCGGTGGGCACAGAAGCGGAAGGTCATGACAAAACCAACAGGTGGTTTCTAACTTATTTCCAAAAGGCTCACAAAACGTCCTTATCATCCATCAAAAAAACATTTACATGCCCTTCACAGTACAAATGGGTGCAGCAGATGAGACTGATAATTGTGATACTATATGGTATATCAATGTTCCACAACCTTTTTCACCTGCAGCACACCCTAAATTGTCAGACACAAAGGAACACCATAAAATTTTGCTTCACGAGAATGGGGTACAAAGCTATACATGACCATAAATATAAATCCTTTACCTATACGAACACAGGAATATGAAAACAAAACATAACACACATTATTTAAAACTCGAAGAGTTGTACTAATAGACAGGTAAATAATTCAGCCAGACAAGAAGAATGTTTTTTCAAATCTCAGCCACAGAAGATTCTTTTCTTAATCCTAGTACTCCTACCTATCTCGTACTTTCTACATCAATCCCCTTTAATTACAAAAAAATAAGACTGGAAAGGTGCAATCCACACTGGAGCACACAGCTTCCACGTGTTTTTTGCACCTTAATATTCTGAATGCTGGTGGTGTCTGAATCAGCCTTGATGAAGATATAAACATCTTATTAAAAAAACTGAAGAATATTGCAATTAAATTTACATAATATCACTATAAAACATGAACATAAGTTTTAAATCTTAATTTTGGTCCTTCTGCTCCCATTCCACTTGTTTAACAAAAAATATTGTTGAGAGGATAACACAGTTTCAAACAGAGGGCTTTGGCTCCATATTTATATTACAAACAGTAAATACATGTAATATCCTTAGATTTCTATATGTTGATTGAAAGAAAAAGTACTCATAAGACGGGCGTTCATTAATTTCATTAGAAAAAAAAACTTTCAATTGAAACTTAACAAACTGTGTTGTAACGCAAATAACGAAATGCAATTCAGCTCATGGGCTAGTGTGCTGGACTTTTGCGCAGATGGTCATATAATAAAATTCTTATTGAGTTAGACTTTGTTATTGCTTGCAATTTTCAATATGCCATGGATTATTAATGTTATTATAATTACTATTAGTATTTATATTTAGTTCCTTCTTGAAAAGCACTTATTATTTTAAAGTTTGCAAATCCACCATAAAATTATTATAGATTGTAAGAGATTAGAAAGTAAGAATATGGCATAGCTTCCAATGGCAAAATGTCCACACCAAATGTCATAACATTCTGCCCAGTGGTTCTCAAATTGATGCATGCAGACTGACAAACAGATGACAGACAAATAGACACAGTCAGTTGTATATGTGTTCTCATTTTCATGTTATGCACGTCATTCAATGAACACATAATAAATTACATTTTCCAAACTACCAATGTCCTAAGTGAAACACACCTTTTTTCCTCATTTATTATAAATATTTCCATAAAAATGAAAGCACAGTCCATACTCTTGAGCAAATACATTGTATAATCTACTTACTCCTATGAATTTAAACTTACAAAATCCTTAGGTTTGTACATATTTTATTTAAGAGTAGCTGAGATTTGTAAAATAGACAATGAAAATTTTGTAATAGTGTTAAAATAAAAGATCATAAAACAAACATAGTTCACAAATTGTAGCAGATCAGCTACAAAAAAATCATTAAGCAATAAACTACATTTTCCCCATATAATGTCATTTATATTACAGCTGAATAAAAACGTTACTCTACCTTACCTTCATGAGACTGGTCAAGAGGTTGATAAACATCATATGTTAATGTAGTTCCATCACACAGTGACACATAACACCGTTCCCCAATTGGCCATGGACAACGCACTCGCCCAATAATGCTGTGTATGATAGTTTGCACATGCCCACTAAAACCCCAAAGTCTAGTTGGAATGTATCTGAAATAAAGTATGTTTATAGTGATTAGTTATTTCTGGAATATATTAATCTTGAATCTTTTATTTTTTTGGAAACAGTAACAAAACAAAACTGTTTAGCAACTTCACTTTTTCAAGACCTGAAAATGTCTTTCAGTCACCTTTATATCTCATATCTAACACATTAAACAACATTAACAGAGCATATACTAATAACAAAGTTATCTTTTCAAGTATACTAAGGGACATACACTACTATTTCCATAACAATCGACCTACTAAAATTTTAAAATATAAAGTGGTATTAGGTATTTTTGTATATACAATATTTCCTCATGTATAATGTTACTTACATGTTTATATAATGTCCTGTAAGCAACACAATGCATTTATAACTTGTGACTCTGAATCTGTTAACTGTATTGGGAATGTGGGGGAATTTTCAGAGCAGTGGAAGGAATCTACTATTGCACCTATTTCTAAGAAGGGTGATAGACTGTAGAAATTATCAAAAAATATCACTGTTATCAACTACATACAACATTCCATCCATTTTTCTGCCAAGGTTAGTGCTATATGCAGAAAAAAATTAAAAGCAGAATAAATTCATGGAATGCTTGCTACCATTCAGTTCAGAATATTTTGTTTTCCCACCTGCTATCTGAAAACATAAAGATTAAAATATATAAAACTACAATTTTACCAGTTGTTTTGTATGGGTATAAAACCTGGTCTCTCACTTTAAGGGAACACAGATTAATGACATTTGAGAACAGGGTACTGAGGATAATATTTGGATCAAAGAGGAGTTAACAGCTCCACAGTTTGTACTTTTTACCTGATTTTATTAGGATGTTCAAAACATGGAGGATGAGATGGGTGCAGCATGCAGCACACGTGGAAAGCATGGGAAGAGACCACTCAGAAGGCTTATGCACAAATGGGAAGAAAACATTAAAATAGATCTTACAAAAATGTGGTTTGGGGATGTGGATTGGATTAATCTAGCTCAGAATAGGAATTTTGTGACTGCCTACTATGAACACAGTAATGAATCTTGGAAATCCACAAAATATGGGTTTTTTTTTGACAAATTTAAAGTGCTAGTTTCTCACGAAGGACTGCTCCATGGAGTGGGTGTGTTAGGATGTCAGTATACTTCCAGATATGATAAAGAATAAGTAGGACAATTCTTTACTTTCATACAAATATACAAAGAACATAAATTAAAAGTCTGATTAACTATACTCGGCATCAAAAACAATGTGGTTAGGTGAAAATAAAAAGTAGTGTTACACAATATACATAACAGCTGCCTCAACACATTAGAGCATGCACTTGAAAGATATTTTTACTGAGTGATTGGATGCATTATAAAATAGTTGGTTTATTACATACGGCTCTTGAAGAAGAGGTGCAATCTTTAAAATGGTGTCCAAAAAGCTGAGATCTTTGCAGTACAAAAAAGGTTTTTGTGGTTGACTATTAACATTTAGTATCCTAAATAATATACAGAGAATTACAGCCACAACAGCTAACAGTGCCGTCGACATTACGGCAACTGTCTTATCGGAACCCAATATTATGAACACTGTCAATGACTTTGCCGGCACCGCCTACAAGCATTTGGCCTCTCCCTTCTCCGTGCTATGAGGTCTCTCTGACAACAAAAGTGACGTCATAAAAACATGAATCAAGCCATGAATATGGGCATGCGTCAGGAATGTTCAGAAAGGTCACTACAGCAACGTAAGGTCGCAAAGACAATAGTTGTTCTTCATGACTTTATACATACACGTCGCCTCGAAATTCACTTAATCTTTGGTCGATAGTTCATCTGTGATATGTATTATGGACTCTGTGACTGTACCTAACAGTAGTACAAACTGTAGTTGTAATTTAATATCTAATTATACCCCTAAAAGCGGACGTTGTGTACTGGCAACGTAACATCATTTTCAGTCAAACAGAAAATAGACCTTACAGTTTTTGTTGTATATAATAATAACTATAAATTCGACAATGAATAGAGGAAAAGGGGTATGCATATAAAGAATATTTTGGTGAAAGTCAGCAAAATATTGCCATCAGTTTCTCCGTTTTATGGGAGTAAACCCATGTTGGAGATATTCTGAGTTAAAAAACGTTTAAATTTACCTCATCCACCATGAAATCCAGTATTGCTGGTAGACAGCATGGCAATGTAACAGGGTTTAAATATACTCAAAGAATTTTATATGGAATGATTATGCAATTTTTTATATTTGGGATGTGATTAAGTAAACATTTTTCTGCTATAAATGATGAGTGTTTATAATGCAGGAACTGGTTATTGCCTATTTTAGGATATCCCAGCATCTATCTAGAGGAAGAGAAGAAATGAAATGTTGACCTGAAACATAACCAGAGGTTACTCGAGATTGACTAATCTTATGGTTGTGTATGTTTTCCTGCCCTTATTTTCAGATTATGATTAGCCACAGTTATATTTCATTTTTATAAATAAAACAATAATTCTGAACTCTTAGAAAAATTACATCCTCAGTCAAACTCAGCTTTCATATTGCCATAGCCCTCATGTAACCCATTACTTCATTACTATCACAGACATTTCTTTTATCACTGTGATTTTATAAATACCTTGAAAATGTAATATATACAGTAGCCATGAAATATAAGTATGAAAGTATGATTTCAATGTGAAAGAAATACCAGATATTCCAAAGGGTTTGTTGAAATACTGTATATGCTATTTGAACTTATAGTTACCTTTCTGTAGTTGTGGTACAGAACTTTACAAATGAGAATTCATGCTTTATGCTCTAGTATATTTTCTAGCTAATATAATTCCTCTTTTATAATTAACTTCCATGACATTTTTACATTTCATAATTTTGTTAACATTTGTTTAAAGTTATCACTGAATTAATTTAAGTACCCCATAGTTTATATAGTTAATGGGATATCGCAGAAGACAGCTTCATAGTACAGGACATGGTCCCCAGAAACCATGGCAACTACTAAAAAATCAGGGTTAGGCAGTGACTCACAAATGCTTCACAGACTATGGTCACTTATTATATTTCTGGAATTACAGTCACTGCCCCATATGACAATGGTTAAAGATTTCATGACAAAACCTTTGATTGAACCAACTCTTATCACCTGAACAGTATTCACTGCCATTTGACTTAACACTGAATTGTCCATACTGAAATTTGTAATCGAAATTGAGGAACTACCAGTTTAATCTTTATCAAATAACTTGTTTTATACTGATGGTAATTTTCATCATCTGCAGTGCTATACCATCAGTTTTAAAGTCGCTTCTTGAAGGTGTATTGATTTTTTCACAATATCAATGCATTATTTCTTGAAGCCTGTATACTTCAGTATTGAAATCTGAGTGATAAGGAACAAGCAAACTGTGATGAATATAAAAATACCAGGATTAAATTATACCTAGAAAATGACCAGTGCATACAGATTTATATTTCCAAAGCTAGGTTGTTTCTTGAAGGGAGGTTCCAAATCCATTGTTGGCTTACTGTGCCTGTCACAGCTTTACATGACCCCAATATCCCTTCACTTTTTGGTTCTTATCATATCTTCTCATCTACCTTCAAAGTTCCAGGGAAAAGCTTTCTCCTGTTTGAAGGTTATCCTGCTCCAAAGAAGTGAACATGGAGATGGACTTTAGGAGATAGGATTTATAGATAAATATCTTGGAAGGTGGGGGGGGGGGGGGGGGGGGGTGAGAGTAGAAAGACAGACATAGAATAGGTTTGATTGTCAGATGACACATAGAAAATGGAAATGTCTTACAGAGATGAGGATTATTTATATTTTTCCAGGCTGCAGTCTGAATAAAATATGACCCTTAAACCAAGTGAAAATGGTAACCATTTTCACTTTGTCTACAACATAACTGGCTCCTACACCAGGAAATCTGCCTGTATTATGTGATATAATGGCATGATTGTACAAATTCATATTACTTGTGTCAGGATAATATATTATTTAAACTTTACATCAGTACAAATTGATACAAGTTTGAAGAAGATAATGTGATACTAGCTTAGTAAAAAGATAGCTTTAGGTGTTATAACAAAATAAAAATAACAGAAACTTAACAATTGCATTTTTAGTTTACAAAATAACAAAATACATGTACTACATAGTAAAAATAATATTATTCCAAGCTGTACAAATACAGTCACAATATTAAAGACATGAAGTAAAAGACTGGTAACATAGCTATGTAAAATATATCTGTGTACAGACTGAATAAACACTATATAAATTAAATTAAATGAAGCAATAACAGCTGAAATGTGAGAATGTGCAAGCAATGAACAGAAACTTCACTTCATCTGAAATATATTTACAAAACTATTTCAAAGGTACCCATTTTGAGAGAAAATACTGCTCATGTAAAACATCCAAACTTCAAACAAACAAAACAATTATGAAAAGTTGGAAATTTGAATACTTTACCAGAATATCAGCACTTAGACCAGTGAATGAAGAGCATGATGAGCATTAATGAGGTCTGGGTTTGACATCCTTTCAATAGTACTAAAACTCCTGTACATACATGAACAAAGCTTCCAGGTAATTTTATATTATTTATCTGGAATGTTCTACTTTAGGAACATAATCACAGAATGACTCAACCCTCTGGCAATGTTACTAATATTGAATGTTGTAGTAAAATCTATCCCACAATTTAACATAAAGAGCACTGTTTACAATGCTGAAGAACAAACTAAAATGTATTTTTTTACAAAAAACTACCATATGCAGAAAAAAATGTATGTCCGTAAAAGTTGATCCACTACAAGTAGTTACGGCCATTAAGTTTTCCAGCTGCTAAATATTCATGTCCTGTTGGTATTATATTGGTAATGATAACCTATTTTGTTCTATACAATTTGTTCTCTTAAGCTTCTGTTGTATTACATGTGGATATGTTTGTGTACTTGCAAACATAAGTCTACTACAAAATTTTCTGTTCAGATACTCACCAGTTAAAAGTAATTACAGAGCCACCACTGGAGCTCTCCATTTTATATTTTTATATTAAGAAAGCAATTACTCAGCTCATGTAAAACTTTCTCATAAAATTAATACATTTACCATGTTTAAATTATTTTCTTACACTATGAAAATATTTAATATAGTAAAATATATGTATGGTGAGACACAGGAAGAGACTTTATTATATTGTAAATAATCATTGAAGTTTGTACAGTTGGTTTGTTTCTAATGCCCCAGAGATGGCTACAATGGCCATTCTCTGCCTCTGCTGACCCTGGGAAAGTTCAGAATTAATTTCTCAGGTTGGGGCACCACAGGGCACATTCCATTAAGGAATAAAATGATACGCAGATGGGACCTACAGTTTAACATGTGCCACTAAACTGGTAATAAGCCGGGATAGCTCAGTCAGTATAGTGACTAGCTACGGGCTGGACGACCGGGGTTCGATCCCCGACGGGGGCAGAGGATTTTTCCTCTAGCCTCTGTGTCCAGACCGGCTCTGGGGCCCACCCAGCCTCCTCTACAATGGGTACCGGGGTCCTTTCCCGGGGGTAAAGCCGGCCGGGGCGTGATGCTGACCACTCACCCCCATCTAGTGCCGAGGTCAAGAAAGAGAGGAGCTATACCTCCACTCACCCCAAAACGCCTACATGGCGTAGAGTGGGACAAACTTTTACTTTTTACTAAACTGGTATGTATTCTGAATTTCACACCTTTCATAACAAAGACAAATACATAAAATTAACTTGCTAAGTTTTCTTCTTAAATTCATACAGTACCTGCTGAATAGAAGTCATACACAATAATGTAAATATTCCTTCAATGAGTTTACAAGAGTGCACAAATGTTATTATACTTCAGAAATTACTTATGTACATTAATTGTATGATAGGCAATTAGGCTGTACTGGTATTGACTGGATTTTTACTGATAATAAGCAGTGGAATAGATGAGAAGAGAAACTTGGAAATTTTACTATTTACTTTCTCCAGTGCAGTTTTATGTTGGCCATAAAAATTCACATTAACCAACTAGGAAAAGAATCTTGGCTGATTAATGCCTAGTGTGATGAGGTACAACTGTGAAGTCCTTGATATAAGATAAAAAAAGGCATCTCAGCATGCATGTATACAAAAACAGGCATTCTTTATGGCAAGTTAACTCTTAAATACAGAGGTTCAGTCTCTCAGACCATGCACAAAATTAAAAATTCAGTTTACTGTGTTCTATTATTTCCTTTGCTTTGCACACTTATCTACCTTCTTTCCAACTTCCAATGTTTCACATGGCAAGACGGACATTGTCTAGGTCTGCAGGAGTGAAGTTTATTATCTGCATGAATGTCCTTGCAGTCTCCAAGAGGTTTTATTTGTGTAAACATTACTTTCGCAGATGGCAAGTGAACATAGACCCTCAGGACAGGTGTTGGGCAAATTACCCAAGTTTTGTTGTTGGTGGTTACCAGGTCATTTGTTCTTCCGAAATATTGGTAACAGACTACAAGGTTAAACAGTGTCACAACCCAGAGGGCCACAATGCACAAAATCATTTATGTTCATATATAATAATTACTGTATTGCTGTGACCATAAATATCCTTAAATGTCAATCGTACAAGTACGAGAGACAA